TATATACTCAACGCATTGTTTGTTAGCTATGCCTACCATAGAAAACAATCTATTGATTTTGCGCACGTATTTTAGACAATTCTATGATCTTATAGAAATATTTCGAATTGGTGGTTATTGTCCGCACACAAATTATCTCTTCCTCGGTACTTTATAAAGATATTAAACCACTTTCTCAAAGTCTTTAAAGTAAGGTGGTTCTGCCGAATGTTCACACATAAAATACAATCGCCTTGTTCCGGTTTCCTGCAGGCGATTATGTGGATCGAGGATTATTTAGCGTGGAAACGATATCTTTATTGACTTGTCTCAAACTTCGATATCCCAGGCGGGTCCAACTTGTAAGAGGAAACCATGAGTCGAGGGCTGTAACCCAGGTGATTAATGATATGACTACGGTGGAATATGGCTAAGGGGTTCACTATGTCTTTACCGGCGTATATTAAATTTTTTATTTGTTGGTATTCTTTAGACATATGGATTTTATACTGAATGCGTTAGAAAATACGGGTCCACGAACGTTTGGCATTACTTTACCGATATGTTCGATTTTCTTACATTGTCTGTAGTTATCAATAATCGAATATTCTGCGTACACGGTGGTAAATGAATTTTCTAACTAAAAAATAATCTCTTTGATTTTCAAGTTTATATTATAAATTATTATTGATAGAAACAACAATTAATAATATTTTCAATTAGGTCTATCGCCTTCCATACATAGCATAGATCAAATCAAGATTCTTGATCGATTCAGAGGTAATAAGACAATATTTAACGTGTATTGATATTGAAATTCAATAAAAATGCTGAAAGGATAGATATTTGCAACATGTAGAAATACCTCACGAAGGGCCCATGGCTGATCTAGTTTGGTCTGATCCAGATCCGGACAAGGATGAATTCGCTATTTCACCAAGGTTTGTTGTGAATTTTTTTTTTTTTTCTGAAATTGAATCAAATATCATTTATTTTACACACTCTCAAAATATCTTCTAGGGGAGCCGGTTACACGTTCGGTGGTCAGGTTGTAAAAAAATTTCTTGAAATAAATCAAATGGATCATATATTACGTGCTCATCAATTATGCATGGAAGGATATCAGGTAGGTTATTTTCAAGAATACAATTTAGGTTGACCTCA